ATAATTGCATGCTTCCTTTGTTCTATATGAAAAGTTAAGAATCTTTTTTATACTATAAAAGGGTAAAAATCATAATTTTATTACAAATTTTTCTCTCAGAAAATAGTTCTAAAAAACAGTTTTGTAAAGCTCATCGAGACCTCTCGATTACATATAAAAATATCAAACAAAGTCTTACTCAACTTTAGTAAAACTTCTATAACTGATAATAATCATACCATTTTGTCTTTTATTGGGTAGGGTTTTTTTTTGTAGTATTGAAATTTGTTTTTCTTCGTATGTTTTTGATTCAAGAATTATTAATACTCAAGCTTCGCTATCCGAAGGTAAAAAGAAATTTAAATTTATATTTTGAAATGTCAATCAAAACAAAAAAAAAGTTGTGTGAAACTTTTGACGTGCACTGTATAATAAGATGTACATGACACAAAAAAAAGAAAGAAGGATAAAGGAATGTTGTGTTTTTTGATTATTAATTTCTTTTATAAGTATTAGAATTGTCATCATCATCATCATCATTATCTTGATATTGTTCTAATTGATGTTGTGTTTGAAAAAGTTTTTCTTGTAAACTATGAGCAAAATTATCAACATAAGATTGTGATTCATTAGTTAAAAGTGCTTGTAATGATTCATAATAAATATTTGATGGTTGATTATTATGATCAAAATGATAACCAACTATTTGATAACCTTTTTGTGATAATTCAATACAATATTCTTTATTAGATTTTGTTTTAATATTAATATAAGCTATTGACATATTATTTTTATTATTAAGACGTTTTGATAATTCTTTTTTAGCAACAATTCCATCACCAACATCATTTATTGCTAATTGTCCTTCAGCTAGAAAATCACCTTGTTCACCTGCTCGAACATTCATTTTGAGTTTTTACACTTTTCGTTTATCTAAAAATTAAAATAATTATTTATATGAACAAAAAACAAAAAAAAAAAGTTTATTTTTGTTTTGTTAAACAACAACAACAAATATATTATAATGTATAAACAAGTCAAATATAGAATTTATTCTTATTGATATCGACTTACAAAAGATAAATTTATTATTGAAGAAGAATGTCGAGAGAAATGATCATATCTTAATTGTTATCTACTTTATCTTGACACATATAAATATGTCAAGTGTTAATATAAATAATTTCAATAACTAACTTACTGATTGATTTAACATCGAAAAAAACAAAATGAAATATTATCTATATTAAGAATAGATGATCGAACAACATTAACTCAATAACAATAAAAAATCAACTAATACGAATAGAATTTTTCAAATCAAATAATAACTCATATAAAAATGAAAATAACTCATTTAGTTCTTGATTATCTATATTATAGAAGAAAAGAATCATCATTAACAATGACAAACCTTTTTTTTTTTTTTAAAGATAAAAATGAGTAGAAAAAACTAATTCGTTTGTTTCTGTTGACGTATGTGGAATAAGTTGATGTAATTCAAACCAATTATTTATCAATGATCTCTAACGACCTCTATAATAAAAAACAATATTAAAGAGGTTGTTGCTTATCAACCAATAATAATTATCAATCATTTATTTAACATTATGTCAATTCAATTATTTTAACAATTTCTATTTCTTCTTCAAGTTTAATCTATGGTAAGTTTTCAATTAAATTATATTAAAAATATTCTAAATACTTTTGTTTTAGGCTCCAAAGAAAGGTGGCAAGAAAAAGAAATCTCCAAAAGCACCGACCATTATTGATGGTCGTCCAGCTGCTGAGGTTTATTTATAAAATATTTATATTTAATATTCACACACCTATATATATATAAATATAGATGACAAAAGAAGAATTAGAAGAACATTTAGGTCGTATTCGTGAAGAATTAGATCGTGAACGTGAAGAACGAAATTATTTTCAACTTGAACGTGATCGTATAAGTACTTTTTGGGAAATAACAAAACGACAACTTGAAGAAAAAAAAGCTGAATTACGAAATAAAGATCGTGAATTAGAAGATGCTGAAGAACAACATCAAGCAGAAATAAAAGTATGTTTTAAATATAAATAAATGAGATTGAATAATTGAAATTTTGCTTTGTATGTAAAACTAGGTTTACAAACAAAAAGTAAAACATTTACTTTATGAACAACAAAATAATATAGCTGAATTAAAAGCTGAAACAATAGCTGAATTAAAAGTTGCTCAAGAAGGTCATAATGATTCAGAAAATACAATGTGGAAAGAAAAACGAGAACTTAAAGTACAAATGAAAGATCAAGAATTAGCTCAACAAGAAGTTATACGAAATTTAAAAAAGGTTTTTTTTTTTAACAATTTTATTTATTTAGTTATTTTTCATATTATATATAAATAGACAAATGAATCATATGTATCGAAATTACGTGATGATTTTCTTCGACAATCTCGAGAAATAGAAGAAAAATATGAAAAAAAATTATATGATCTTCGAGAAGAAATGGAATTACGTCGTAAAACTGAAATACATGAAATTGAAGAAAGAAAAAATCAACAAATAAATGATCTTTTACGTAATCATGAAAAAGCATTTAGTGATATTAAAAATTATTATAATGATATTACATTAAATAATCTTAATTTAATTAATACACTTAAAGTTAATAATCATTTATATAATATCTTTTCTTTTTACTTTATTTATTTATTTTTTTTGTTAAGAATGAAATTGAAAAGAAAAAACAAGAAGAAGAACGTTTAGAAAAACGTATGATTGAACTTGAAAATGAAAATCGAAAAATGCGTGAACCACTTGAAGCTGCAAAAAAAGAAATGGAAGAATTAAGACGAAGAGCTGAAAATTATGATAAAATTAAAAGTTTATATGAAGTATTTTTTTTTTCTCGAAGAAAAAACATCAAATTTTTTGTATTATTATATTTAGAGTAAAAAAATTCAATTGAAAAATAGTGAAATTGATTTTAAAAATTCTAAATGGGAATATGAAGTTTTATTACAAAAATTTGAAATTGTATGTCAATATATTTTTTTTTTATCGTTTTGTTTATTGTTTTTTTTAGATTCAAAAAGAACGTGATGATCTTTATAATAAATTTATAAAAGCTATTAATGAAGTACAACAAAAGAGTAGTTTAAAGAATTTATTATTAGAAAAAAAATTAAATACATTAGCTGATAGTTTGGAAAAGAAAGAAGCTCAACTTAATGAAGTTCTTTCAGCATCAAATCTTGATCCAGCTTCACTTTCGGTTGTTACAAGAAAACTTGAAGTTAGTTTTTCTCTCTTGGTTTTTTTTTTTTTACTTTATTTTTATTCATTTATTTAAGGAAGTACTCGATGCAAAAAAACATTGGTAAGACAGTTTTTTTTTATTATTCTAAACATTCCTATAAACTTTTCTGAGTAGGGGTCGACAAGCTCAGCTCAGTTCCGCTCAGAGGAACTGTTAAAACAGCTCTTTTGAGCTGGGCTGAACAGGTTCATTTGAGCTGTGAGCTGTGTTCCCAAAACAGAACACTTTTGTTCCGTTTTCGGGAAACAATTCCCATAAAAGAACAAAAGTGTTCTGTTTTGGGAGCATAGCTCACAGCTCAAACGAACCGGTTCACCAGTTCAGCTCAGCTCAAAAGAGCTGTTCTAACAGTTCCTTTGAGCGGAACTGAGCTGAGCTTGTCGACTCGTAATTCTGAGAACAAAAAAACCAACTCTATACCTTTGAACTATATTAAATTACTAGAAAAACTATTTTTTAAAGATAAAAATGTTTTAGACTTTTTTTTGAGAAAAAAAACTAAGTTTTTTAGTTCGTCTGAGCGTCAATTATAATTCTGTTTGTATTATCTAGAATGATTGAATAAATAATACTTTCTTCAGATTTTTGTTTTCTATAAAGATATGTATGTACTTTGCAAAAAGCATAAAACTAATATTTATAGAATAAATAAGAGAAAAATTAGTTTTGTTTATTTCGTATCTCGATAGAAAAACATCAAGAGAGAATTTTTTTTTTAGTTTATCATATATTGATGTTAACTATATGAAATTTACTCAGTGAATAATTGAAACTTCTAATAAAATTTTTAATTAGATTTTTCAGATCAATTTCTTGTTTAATTAGATATTTAAGTTTAAGAAAAATAGACCATCACATTCATATTGGATGTGTCATTTGATAGATTGATTTATTAATTGAATTTTTCAGTATGCAACAAAAAAAAAACTCCTAATATAACTCACACCAAGAAATAAAATTATGTGAATCATCAAATAGTCATCTAAATACCAAACATCAGTTATTTTTTTTTTTCTCAAAAACTATATCATCTTAAATCAATATTCAAGTATGAATATCTATCTCGCCATATATGAATAAAGTCTTATTATAATAAATGATAAACTTCATTAACGCATTTATTTGACTGTTAAATAAAAGACTGATATAATAAGATGTTCTAGATCGATTGACTATTTATATAAAAAAAGAAAAAGATCATCAATATCTATGGAAATTATTTCCGTTTGTTAGATATATTCTCAAAAAGAAAAATTGTGTTTTTTTTTTGTACAAATAGATTCGTGATTTACAATATGAATTGGCTCGTGTTTGTAAAGCTCATAATGATATATTACGAACATATGAAGCTAAATTACGACAATTTGGTATTCCAATTGAAGAAATTGGTTTTAAACCTTTAGAAAGTACAGTTGCTGGTCAACAATTAGGTCGAGGTGTAGCCGGTCTTGTTACGAGTCCACCATAATATGAACATTTTTATCAATGCATTGTAAAGTCTATTTTTTTTTTTTTGTTTTGAATTTCTCTCAACTTTTTATCAATTATTGTGCCTTCAGTTTTTTTTTTTGTGATTGAAATATTTAATATGAATATTAGTATCAAGTTCAGCGGAAATAAATGAAATAGAATTGGTTTAATACATTGAAAAAAAGCTAATAATTGTGTATAAAAAAAAAGAACAAAGCGTTTGAGTGATTGTTTATGAAATAAATTTAATTTATCTGACCAATTTGTTGTTCTTGTTGTTGTTTTTCTTCATTATTTGTTTCATTTAATAATTGTTTAATAAGATTTTTTTCTGGTTTTTCATTTTCAATATTATTTTCATTGTTTTGTGGTAAAAATTTTCGACAAAAAAGAAATTTTTTCATAATTGATCTTGTAATAAATAAAATAAGAAATGGTATTGGTATAGCCATTGAAACAAGTATTGGATTTGCTAATGCAACATCAGATTCAGGTTGTGGAAATGTTAAACGAAGAAAAACAATAGCTACACCTGTATTTTGAACACCTGTTTCAATACAAATAGCTATGATTTTCTTTTTATCTCTTATTAATATTAATGATACAATTGAACCACCTATAAAACCAAACCATGGTAAAAAACAACAAGCTATTATGGATTTTAAATCGATTATATGAAATATATACATATTTATATAAACTAGAAAATAAATTATACTACATTATTATCTTGTGTGTGTTTTTATATTATATTTACCTCCAAATGTAAGAATAAATACCAGATAACCTTAATTGAAAGAAGAAAATATTTTTGTTTTAATATAGATTTAAAAATTGTTTACCAATAGCAATAGGATTAAGAAATCTTCCAATACGATGAGCTAAAACTGGTCGATAACGTCGAAGTAAAAGTCCAGTTAATGCTGGAATACATAATGATATTAATGAAATAAACATATTCCACCATGGAAATTTAACTTGTTTAAAATCTATATAATTTTTTCCAAGTATCCATACCCAAAATGGAAATGTACCAAATGCAAATGTTGTTGACATAAATGTTAATGTTACTGATAAATCAACATCACCAGAAAGTAATGCTGTATATATATTTGATGAACCACCACCTTAACAAATATATTTTAACATCAATTATACTTATATTTATTAGAATAAATCGATATAGAACACAATAAATTAAATTAATCAATTTATTTTATTTAACAAATATTTAATAGAATGATTAGAATTTTGTTTAACGAAACATTAGCGAGTATATTAATTGATCAATATTATTTTTAGAATATTAAAAATTACAATATGATCAGAAAGAAATTTATCAAAAAATAGATAAATATTATTATCATAGAGAACATGCATAAAGAATTTCATTTTATTCTTGTTTAAAAAAGTAAAATTAAATCTATAAATAAAATAATCTTACCAGGACTTGATGCTGTTGAAAGTAAACCTAAACTTGTTGAATTATCTAATTGAAATATTTTTTTAATAATAAATGATAATAATGGTAAATAAATAATTTGACATATAAGACCAACAATTAAAGGTAATGGTTGTCGAATATTTTTAATTAATTGTTCAATTTCTAAACCACATCCAATACATAATATTCCAGTAGTAACAAGAAACATAACAACAGATGTAAATAAGAAATCAATTATTGTTTGATGTCGTTTTACAGCTATATTTATTGTTTGTCTTAATATATAATATCCATTTTCATATTTAAGCATTTGACAATTTTCAACAATTTCATTATGATTTAATGATGATTTTGAACATTTTATTTGTTCAAAGGTACCATTATTTATTGAATATTCAATTGATCTAGTTTTTTATTTTATTTTTTTCAATATTGATTATGATAAAACAAAAAACAAATAAATTTACCTATAATCAGTTTGATTTTGTAAATAAAGTTGAATTGTTAATGGTGCAAAACCAATTAATCTGGCAAATGCTGTTATATTAATATGATGTGTTTCAATAAAATAAGTTAAATTAATAATACTTAAACGTTTAAGTAATGGATTTAATAGAGAAATATTTCGTACAATTATTGATGATGGACAATATTTAAGTTGACCACTTATATTAAATATATTTCGTTCATATACATCACGATATATATTTAATTTATCAACTTTATCAAATTCAATATTACAACTGAGATTTAAACCAATATTTAATAATAAAATAAAAGAATAGATATTTTGTCTCTTCATTTATTCAAAAAAAACACATCTGAAAGATAAAAAACAAGAAAAAAAAAGGTTTTTATTTCTAAGATATATCTATCAAGAGATTCTACATAGAGGAAAAACAAAATAATGATAAATGTTTGTTTTTTATTGCTCATTGTCACTATTAGGTATTGCTTCATAATCTGATCTATCAGGTTCATTATTTATATTTGTTATTAATGTATTATTTCCATATCGTTTTTGAATAGATCGATTAATAATCATACATATATAGATAATTAAAAGTGGAATTGGAATTGCTATTGCTACCTAATATAACATATATAGAATTAAATAGAAATATTTATTTATTTATTATAATACATACAAATATTGGTACAATAATAGCTAAATCACGATCAGGTTCAGGAAGTGATAAACGAAGAAAAAATATTGATACACCTGTATTTTGTAAACCTTTAACAAATAAAATAACAATTTAAAGAGAAATATTTTAAATTCTATTAGTTATTCAATAAAAAAAATGATCGAAATAATATCATAATTTGCTTTTTGTTTTTTTAAATTTGTTTGTTCATCTGTTTTCTGTCTAAACTTTTTAGTATAGAGACATAAATTTTGATTTCTACAAAAAAATTCAATTTAAAAAAAAAATCTGCTTGAGAATATATTATTAAAGTAGATTCATACAAACCTTTTACAAGGACAAAATAAAGCAAAGGATATATGCGTGACTGACTCGTTCTTTTTTTTCCCTTCTTCTTCATTATTAAAGAACAAGAAGGTAAATGAGTACTTTTCTTTTTTTTTTTGTTTGAAAAAAGACGTAATTCTTCTGATGATGGTATATGATAATCTTGATATGAAAAAAATTAATTCTTTTTTTTTTTTTGTTAAAATAATATAATCAAATAGAATAATAAAATCTTATGCGAATTAAAAAAAATTAAATTGAATAAAGTAAATAAACTAAGGTTATTATTTTTTATCTTAATTAAATAGTCTCAACGATGAGTCAAATAAAATAAAAAACTCGCAAATGAATAAATCTGAACAATCAATTTGATAAGTAAAGAGAAGGTATATTGGCTTGTCCACGTAACGCGAGTTTTGAATAAATTTTTTTTCAAATTGAACAGATTTGAATGGGCTGCTAGACGCAATTTTAATGCTGATTACGAATTTGACATTTGATTTTGTAAAAAAATCAAATTTTCCTATCGAAAATCGTATTTTGAATTTTCTGACCAAGAAAGTTTTTCAAAAAAATGCCAAAAGACATATCATTCGATGCAGAATTTCATTCTCTACAAAATAGGCTATTTAGTGTTGACTTTGGTAGTTGAGGACACCTTGTAGACTCTTATATAGATTTCCACATGCTGTTCAGTTTTTGAACTTCCATATCGATGAATCAATCTGATTCTTTCGTAGAACGCTTAGCTACATAGAAAAGACTAACCCATACAAAAATCAAATCATTCTGACCATGTTAAGTACCTCAAACATTGGTTGACAAAAAACTGTGTCACACCGTTACGTTTGTATTTTTTGCATAAAGAAAAGATGTTAGGACAGCGCCTTTCGCAGAAAATCACAGCTTAAAGACAAACACTTTAAATTAAGGATCCTTTTATGTGACTCCGTTACGCAATCAAAAAATCTTGCCAGATACTCAAGAGATCGACGGAAACTATTCATTTTTATAGCATGATGAGCTGCATCGAATAGTGCTTGAACGAATTTTCTAGCTCCTAAAATTCTCGAGATAATTGGAAAATAGTATGTCAAAAACGTAACATTGTTACGCTTAGACAAGCCGATATATATATGTTAACAAAAGAGTACAGACACATACCACTTTCAATTGAAATAGCAATAAGACGTTGAATATTTTGTTTTGTTATTAATGACATTATTAATCCAATAATAAAACCAGAATAAGGTAAAATAGCACTTACAATAATTGTTTTATAATCAATTAATTTAAATACATAAAGATTAGTATAAACTCCAAATGTTAATATATATAATATAAATATTATTGTTAAAAATCGAAGATATTTTGTAAAACGATCAGCTACTGATGGTTTTATAGAACGAATTAATAAACCAAAACCTTTTATATTTAAAATAATTTTTTTTATTTATTGATAAAAAAAAAACAAAATAAACTCTTACTAGCTGGTATAACAAGAGACATAAGTGTAACAAACATATTTTCCCATCTTAAATAAATAGAAAATATTCTTAAAATATAATTAATATTAAAACATACGGAAAATGAACATTATGTGTATCAATAAATTCTCTTGCCAATAAAAGTATCCATACAGGAAATGTACCTTTAACATAGAATATATAATATATTAAAAAATAAAGAAAAAAAAACCAGAAACAAACCAAAAGCAAGTATAGTACTAGCAAATGTCATTGAAGCTGATAAAGCAACATCTCCACCAAACATAGCTGTATACATATTTGATGCACCACCACCTGGTGATGAACCTGTTGATAATAAACCAATTGATGTTGATGAATCAAGTTTAGCTATTTTACATAAACCATATGATAACTAAATAAATAAAATAAATTTTGTTTTTTTTTATTTTAAATCTAATTAATTTCTTTTACTAAAGGTAAACATAAAAATTGACTTAAAAGTCCAATAAGTATAGGAATAGGTTGTCGAATATTAGTATAAAGATTTTGTGGAACAAGTCGACAACCAATTAAAAATGTTCCAATACAAACAAGTATAATAATAATAATTGTAAATATTGTATCAAGAATTGTTGTTTTTCTTTTAACAGCTATATCAATTTCAATATTATTTGTATAATTATATATTTGTTTTATTTCATTTAAATATTTAACATATAATTTTAATTGACTATAACCAAGTAAATTTCCATGAATTATTAAATTAAATGTTAAATTTTGAAATTTATCATTAAATTTAATTAAATCTAATGGTAATTTTGTTTTTATTTCAATTGAACGTTTATTATCGATTTCAATTGATATATTTGCATAAATAATACTATCATTACTAGTACAATTTATTTGAAATAATATTAATACATCATTTATTGTATCATTTATATAGATTGGTGGAGATTTTATATGAGTTTCTGTTTGATTAATACAAGTTAATGAACATGGTGAACAATTAATAAAAGATAATATTTCAATTAGAAATAAAAATAATAATAACAATTTAATCAACATTATTATTTTTCCTTTCAACAATTCATAACATAGATATATGATATGTTTTCTTTCTTTCTACTTTATTGAGAATATAATTACAAAAGATTTCCAATCATATACATATTTAGACAGATGGCGTCAACCATCAATTTTATTCCTATTAACACATCTTTGTTGTTTTTTGATTCACTATTTATTATTAAATTCAATTATTCATAGATCTATACTTTTTTCTTCTCTACTATAATTGAAATTATGATAGAACATCTATCCATTGGACGTACATTTATCCTCAAAATAAAAAAGACAACAAAATGTAATTTTGATGTTTTTTTTTCTTACGATATGAACTCTTTAACCCTTACAAATTCAAGCAAGTTCTTCTTGCAATAGAAGGAAGATAATCATAAAAAATAGAGCTGATGGATCTACAGTATACTCATACTATAGCTAAAACGAAATACTTTATTCATCCTCTAGAGTTACATAATGTCGTTTAATAGAAATCTTGGACCTTTCAAAAAAAAAAACGAATTTCGATCGGAAATTTCGCCCTTAATCAGTTTATATGATTCTTAAATTTTCAGTTAGAATGGATACTTTGTTGTTGAAATATTGGGCGCAGAAAAAATCAGCAACATTTTTCAAAAAACTCACAAAATTCGACTTCTCTTCAACATGCGTTGTTGCTGCAAATTTAAGGAGAATTTAAATAGCGTATCAACTATTTATGAGAAAAATTTCTTTGTTTCGATTGTTTCTTACGGCAAAATATCGCAAAGAAGAAACATTTTCTTTATGATAGTGTCCTGCATGAGTCGAAAGGTTTAAAATTGACAAGATGATTTCATCAAATACCTTCACAATATCGTTTAAAAAAATCAAAGTTGCGTGTCGCTTATTATGAATCAAAAAAACTTCAAAAAAAGAAAAGTAATGCTAAAAAAATGACGAATCGTTCGGTTTAAGAATCACTTGAGAATTATATTTTCATCTCTGTATGTTCACTAAGGTTATGTCAGTTCAGAAAAATGTTGCTTTTTACATATAAACTCTTCTAGTAGAATTTATTGAAATTATTTTTATGTTCGTTGGAAAGAACATTGGGCTCTTAAGTGTAATACTTTCAATGATTAATGAAGTTCTATATAGAAAAAAAAAAGGTTTGATAGTGATATATCATTGATTAATTAGTGCAGAAATGCTTCTCAAATATTCAACAGAGTAGTTTTCAGATCATAAAAGACTTTGTAAGAACTATTATATTTAGTTCATTGAGAAAATATCATCTTGTAATAAGTGCTCAATGGAATTTTTTTTTCATAAAGAAGTTCATCGAACAACTATTGAAATGATTATTTCAAATTGAGTTCAATAATTGATATTCAAGAGAAAAATCAAAAATTATATTTGTCTTATATTTTTACTAGAAATTTTGTTCTACTTACGAATTGTTTACTGAAAAATAAATATATGATAAATCTATTCTATTGCATAGATCTGTTAGAGTAGTATTTGTTTTATATTTTAAGAAGAATATTTTTTAATTTATTGATAAAGGTTTTTGAAGAAAACTTTTTTTTCATACAAATGTTTTTCATGCAACAGAGCTGATTGTATCTATTATAAAAACAGGACTGTATGAACTACTTATAGATAAGAATACTAATGCAATACAAAGATGTCCATCGCGGCTGAATATCTGCCGCTGCCGCGCCGCGACGGTTTATAAAAAAATGTTGCCGCGACGCTGCCGCACCGCGATGACTTATAAAAAAAACGCTGCCGCGACGGTTTTCAAAAAAGTG